ACTTTGGGAAGCCTGGCACGGAATGGTCTCCTCCAGTTTGAAATCCACGTAGGAAAGATGCCCACTTAGTAGACAAGTAGGCGGAAATGCTCGCCCTCATTAGCAGTCCAAGATACACAAGCAGAAGCAGCGATAGCTGAACCTTCCTCCTGGAGCTGATGGCCATTTCTGGTGCCATCTGCTCTGTTGAACTTTGACCTCTTTGAAGCATTGCTGGTGATGGGGGCAGTTGGGACAATCCCTATAAAAAAAAATCAGTGGGCAATGCATTGCAAGAACCATAAAATATCCCAACTCTGTATTTTTTGAGATTGCAATTGAAACCTATAAATAAAAGTGCATATAGGAAAGTCTTTGAGTTGCTTCTCTGCACTAGATACTGGGTATCCCTAAACAGGTATGAGTTTGGTTTATTGTCGTAAGGTGGGATGCTGAGATCCCTGAAACGCTGACTCCAGTGCAGGGTGACGGTGCTTCTGGGTGAGATCCATAAGTCTGGGTGAGGGAAGAGGCCTCGCAAGCGCCTGGGTTCAGCTGGATTTGACCCTCGACCCCAGCCCCTGGGAACCCTGCAGTGTTAGCGGTCACTGGGTATTGCTGCAGCTGGAGCCGAGCGCTGGCCCTTGGCACAGGGTCACTCAGTGCTCAACGTGGTCTTGGAGGGGCTGGGTGTCATCTCCCCCGATTTCCAGATGAGGCAGCTGGTGGAAGAGGGTTCAGCTCACAGCACCTGGGGATGGGTGCAGGCACGCCTCCCTGATCCAGCCGGGAGGCTGCGATTGGTGCACAGAGCCCAGTTCACTGAATGCCCCAAGGGCAGGTCTCTGGGGCTGGAGTGTTGGGTTGTGTCCCTTTCCCTGCTGGGAACAGTGTGCCCCTTAGCCTGCAAACGGTTTCTTCCAGCAGCCGCTCAGTTGTTTCTCCAACACTCCCCACCCTGGTGCCTCCATCCCACCTTCTGCCACCACTGTGGCCAGAGATGAAGAGAGCAAAAGGGTGGACAAAAACAGACAAGGAGACGCCGACCTGTGGGTGGAAGATGGGAATCTGGCTTTCGCTGGCTCGAAAGTTGGGCATTCATCTGTTTTTCTGGTTAGCGCCGACCAGGTGTGTCACAGGAAGAGACAGGGTGACTCAGAGGCAGGTTCGGTCTCCTCCGGGACATCTGTTCTGTTCCGGTTAAGGCTTTTAATTGAAAAAACGTGCTCCTCCTTAGACGCCCTTGAATGGCACAGGTAGTGCGTGCAGAATCAGGCTGGTCCTTCGTATGTGGGCTTCTCAGCTTTCGTTTCCACTTTTTAAATCTTTTTATTTAACCTCCATGGGGAATTTTAAAGAGAGATTGGAAGGTATCGTAAAGCTAGGAGGACTGACCTGCCTTCCACCAAGTTCATTCAGGACAGTTTTAAAATGTAAAGAAATATAAAAGATGTTTGTACATCTGAGAACTTTTCTGAGAATTCTTTTAATTCTTAAGTCTTTTGACTTAAGACTTCCTATGTAAACCAGATACTCGTATTCCAACATACTCCTCATGTAGGATCTCTGTCCTTTATGTGTTGTTCAATGTAAAATAATGCTATAACTAGTACTCAAACAATATTTTACACTTTATGTTCTGTGTGGGGGCAAACTGTTGAAATCTTTACTTAATATGTACTAAATTGATCTTCTGTATATAAAGAGAATTGAAAATGAATCTTGATGTGAATGGAATGGGAGAGGGAGCCGGAGTTGGGAGGGTTGCGGGTGGGAGGGAAGTTATGGGGGGAAAAAAGCCATTGTAATTCATAAGCTGTACTTTGGAAATTTATATTTGCTAAATAAAAGTTAAAAAAAGAAATCAATGATAATTACACAAATCCAAAAGTAATAAATGAATAATCATAAATTATAAAATAGTAATTACAAATAAAAATGATATAATTAATGTTGTCAATTCAAGTATTATTATTTCATTGACAATAATCATAAGTAGCCATACAAGTATTGAGATTTTTCAGCCTGAAGCCTTACAAATATTCAGGAGTTGAGGAGAGGTAATGAATTGTAGACGCCTGCAATGACAGAGAAAGTGTGAAATCGGGGCACAGGGCCTTGTGTCTTTATTAAAATCCCAGTTCTACTTCGTGACTGTGGTTTTGATCATGCCAAGCCTCAGCGTCTCCGAGCATGTAATGGGAACATTGCTTTCCTCCTGGGGGAAGCACAGTCGTGGTGAGGGGTGCGGGCATTCGTCCTGCAGGCTCTGGAGCCAGGCGATGCCCGGATTTCCCTGTTGGCATCACCACAGCCCAGCTCCATGGCCTGTGGCACATTAGTCCTGCCATGCCTCAGTTTCCTTTAATGAAAAGAGTACAGCAAGCGTACGTCCTCCTAGGAGACTGATGAATTAATACCACCAAAAGGCTTAGAGGGATATTTGGCACACAGTAAGCAAATAAAGAACATTGACCATTAACATATTAGATACCATAACATTGACCATTAACATATTAGATATGTGCAGAAGATGGTATATGTACAATAAACAGTATAACAAGAATCTTTACCTGTGCGTATTTCATAGCAAGAGATAGATTCTAAAAGAACAACAACTAACTTTTTTATTTGCTGTTGTAATAATTTTTGGGTAAATTAACCACATATCACATGACAAAGTAACAGAGGCCTCATGAGTTAGTTATATGTGAAATATTCATACAAATGAGCAGCTAAGTGATCCCTCTAGAAGTCATATTATGGAATGTCTTATTTATTCATTTGTTTTTCAAAGAATATACATGATTCTGTCATCATGACATGGTGATATTGACAACACTGAGAACAGAAGTCACTAACAAATAGGTCTTAATAAAATTAGACCTCCTCTTTAAGAGTGACAAGTAAGAAAAAAAAGTGAGTGTGTGTATGTGTGTGTGTGTGTATAGGAGGAGTTAAAGAGAGAGAACAAAAGGTCATAAAAATAAAATGGTTTAGAATGTATTATCAACGTGTAACTCAGAAATTAGATGGTATCTTCAACTGATCTTAGAAATCGGTCAACATTGGATCAGTCTTGCCTAAGGTGAAAGGGTATGACAACACTCTCTCGTTTCCAAACAGATGGACACCTGTCAAAAGAAAACCAGAGCAGTTAACAAAGTTTACCTGAGCAAGGAGAAAGGTTCTACAATAGGGCCGATTTCCAAACCAGAGGTGGTTCAGCAGGCCCCATCCCACCGTGTGCACAGCTGATATTGCCAGCCAGAGAAACAGACTTGACATACGGAAGCAACGTGATTGGCTGCAGTTAGCACTGGCCGCATTTGGGCATGGACTTATCAGTTGGCAGCCTGTGACTGGCTGCAGCTCAACTCTGAGTGGCTGAGGCTCAGTTACTTGGTTCCAAGGGTATAGGTTAGGTTAGGCTACGGTTTGTGGAGGTATGAAGCTAGAGTACACAGTTCACTATGTATAGACGCTGGTTTGTGCCAAATGTTATCACCCACCACACAGGGAGACTGGTTCAGGCCACACTTAGTTCCGTTTAACACATCTAAGTCTTCTTTTTGGTCATTTCAAGACTTAGAGCAAGGACATGGAGTCCGTTTACAAAGATTATGCAGTTACACTAAAATATATCCCCAAGGTCATGGTAATAATATAGGTCTGTGTGCTCTCATTTGCTAAGTATTTTCCTACCAATCTCTGTGCTCTGGGAAACTGTGTACTGCACTAACCAAGTTTAGGAGGAAAAAAATAAGATTGGAGCAGGCCACTCAAAAGCTATGCAAGGTTGTAACCAGAGCAGTACAAAAACAAAACCGGGTTCCTGGAACATTAACCTCAAGAGCCCAGTTAGGCAGCTCCGGCGGCTAGAGAATGCCACAGTGGAGCAATAGGGCGGCGGGGCTGGCAGTGTGGACGTGGGAATTGAGTGGGCAGGTGGAGGAGGCCGCCAGCTGCTGTGCAGTGGACACCACAGGCGAGCTATGTACCGCAAGGTGACAGCCACACACCCAGGCTCCACTCCCAGGAGGCCAGCAGTGTGCATGTTGTTAAACAGTTTATAGATGCTGGTCTGACCAGGCTTCGCTGCTTTTCCCCTGGTCGATTAGGGTTACAATGCCTTTGCTGCTGTAACCATGGCTCTTGCTGGGGAAAAACGATTTCCCAGCCTTACCAACCGCATTCCCTATTGATCAACTGTGTATGAGTTAAGTTTGCATTTTAGGACATCTACTGTGATAATAGATGTGATAATAGATCTATTGTGTGGGGTTAATTGTTAAATATTTATTTACTTATTGCAGAGGCAGATTATAGGGGAGGAGAGAGAGAGAGTCAGAGACAGAGAGAGAGCTCGCCTACTGCTTCATTCCCCAAATGCCTTCAATGACTGGGGCTGGGCCAGGGCTTGAGCTTGGAGCTGGGAACTCAATTCGTCTCCCATGGTGGTGGCAGAAGCCGTCATTGCTACCTTCCAGCATCTGCATCAGGGGGAAGTTAGAGACAGCAGCCAGAGCCAGGAGTCAGCCCTAGGTGGCTCATGTGTGTCTTAACTACGAGGCTAAACATTTGCACCCAAATGGAGTGATTTTTTTTTTGTACATTTTTTAAAAAGAAACCAGAAAGCAGCTCACTCAGAAACATGCTGCCTGTGTAGGAGAGAGAGAATTTAGTAATAAACCGTGAGGGGTTGTTGAAGGAGCCAGCAAGTATGTACGGGATTCAGGACAAGGAGGCACAGTGACAGGGAAACCGAATGCTTCAATGGCTTAGGGCCGAGCGTTCACATGTTCGGGACACTGCCCTAAGCGTGTCTTGTGGATTAATCCACTTACTGCACACCACAGTCCTTAGAATGTGGGTTTCAGTTGCCCCCTTTGACAGATGAGGAAACTGAGGCACAGGCTGGTCACGTCCCTTGCTGGGCTTTGAATACGGGCGTATGGCTCCTGGAACTGCTGCGTGGACTGGCCTTTCAACCAGCCCTGGCTCCTGGGAGCAAGCAAGTGCGGCCTGTTTTTGTTTTTGGTTTGTTGTTGTTGTTGTTGTTTTCTTTTTCTGCTGGCCTGCTTGCTTTTGATTTTGGGAACAAAACAAAAAGTCGATGCTGGAAGAATTTTGTGTTCCACTCAAATGCACGGAGATCCTTGTGCTCTTTAGGAGGCTGTAAATCCATCGCTCGCAGTGCCCTGAGTTCCTTCTCTACCCCAGGGGCTGGGAGAACAAGGATTGCTGGAGTGCGAGGCCGGCAGTACCCAGGGGAGTGAGCCCTGGGGTTCCAGGAGCGGCAGTTTGGGAGGGGCTCCCAGGGGGAGGGGGACACCAGGCATCCAGGCACACACCCTGGCCTGGGCCCCAGTTATGTGCCCCCGAGGCAGATGGGCCCTCGTGGCGAGGGCGACTCTGGGCCTGACATCCATGGCTCTCTCTGCCTTCGTTCCCCTCAGCCTGTTTCCAGCTGTTTCCAGCATCAAAAGGATTAAAGGATTGCGGCTGACTTCAGGAGTCGGGGAGTAGGAGGGCGGTTAGAGCTGATCCCAAGGCTTAGGAGCCAGAGACGAAGGAAACCTTGATCCCAGGAAACAGGTGGGTATCGTCAAAATCAAAGCTATGGGACAGACCCAAGAATTCTTGGAAGAAACAGAATTCATTGGCCCAAAGCAAGGAAGCAGCCCACGGGGAGGCCATCTGGGGGCTGAACCCCTAGAGCCGCCCTGCCCCCATCCCTGGGACGCTTCTCTCTCTAGGAAGCACTCCGTAAGTACCAAGAGAGAGAAGCCCCTACTTCTGTTGTCTAGGACATGGGGGAGCAAGGAGAAGGGGATCTGGAATCCCACGTTGGAACAGGAGAGCATTTTCCAAGAGAAATACCAGGCCGTGTGAGCCCAGCGTAACCGGCAGAAGCATGCAGGCTGCCCCCTTTCGCCCAGCAGTTAGGTGGAGGGATAAGGAGTGGAGCAGGAAACACTGGAAGTCAGGGTCGTGGGCGATAGTTCTTGAGCCACGAAGGATGACGCTCGGGTGACGTGAGTCTAAGCTTGGTGCTCAGAAGTCTGTGTGCTGGGTGAGCGTAGTGGCACGGCAGCTTCAGGACACCTGTGTCCCGTATCAGAGTGCCTGGAATGGAGTCAGCTGCTCGGCTTCCCACCCAGCTTCCTGCTAATGTGTATTCTGGTGTGGGGGGGGGGCACAATGGATGACTCAAATACTTGGGTTCCTACCACCAAGCTGGGAGAGCTGAATTGAGTTCTAGGCCAGCCTGGCTGTTGTGGTCATGTAGGGAGTGAACCAGTGGAGATTTCAACCCCTCCCTTTTTCTTATTTTCCTCCTGTCACCGCTCTGTCTTTCAAATGAATAAAAATACATAATGAACTTAAGAAAGGCAGTCCATGTTCACTAAGTTTGGAGTTGGGAGACAAGAAGACTTCATCGGCTAATTTGGTTCAGTTATAGAAGATCTAGTCAAGGGCTGATGTGGGAGACTGGCATTTAGGGGATGGGAACCGGCAAAGGGAAGGGGTCCAGTCTGTGTCTCTCTGGCTGTGCCCCGCCCACCAGCATAGACTCCTGGGCTTCTCCCAGACCCACCAACTCAAGATTTCCAGCTGTATGACCAAAGACTCTGCATTTTAACACTCAAAAACTCAACATTCTTCTCTCTAGTACAGGAGGACCACTTGTGGAGGTTTTGCTATTTATTGTCTAGAAGTTTGGGTGCCTGCATGATAAATGAGAATAACGATCCAATTATTTTCAAGAACTGTGAAGCCTGACCATTCGTGAGGAAACCTTATTATAACTTGCAGTGTCCCTCACACCCTTGATTGCTGTTTTGTTGCATGGTAGTTAGGCATAAATGCACACCCTTTTACTTAGATGACTACATCATGTCACCAGGATACTTCAAAAAGTTCATGGCAAATGCGATTAAAAGATACTTTTTTAAAGATCCCACCAGTACGCATGGATTTCAATTTTTATCCTGCAGCAAAACAAACTTTTTCCCCATTTGTTCCATGAACTTTTTGAAGTATCCTTGTACTTTTAAAAGAAATTCAATCCAGAATTTCTGTGGTCAGTAGGAAAGAGAGGCATGAGCCGAAAGGATGTGGTAGGGACACAGCTGCAAACCCCCCATCCTCACTTGTCATAGGATCCGGCCAGTTCTGTGTGCTGTGCCCTGCAGCTGAGTTGCAAGAGAAATGAGATGTCATGGCCAGTCTCTTCCTTTCCTGGGTCAAGGTGGAGCCAGCCACGTGTCAGCTCGCCTGCCCCATGTGAGTGTCCTGGTTAAAACCCTGGCTCCCTGCTGCCTCCCAGAAGCTCCGCACACCCATCACGAAAATTACCAGGTCTCTGCTAGCCCGTTTCCAGGAGCTGCTTGGAGCCGGAGAAACAGTTGGACAGACTATAGTGAGCAGAGCAGCAGTACAGAAAGGCACAGGAAGACGCCATCCTTGGAGGGAGGAGCCACTGGGGCTGGCGTCGTGGCGCAGTAAGTTAAGCCACTACCTGCGGCGCTAGCCTCCCATAGGAGTGCAGGTTCAAGTCCCAGCTGCTCCACTTCTCATCCAGCTCCCTGCTGACATGCCTGGGGAGGCAGTGGAAGGAGGTGCCAGGTGCTCTCCATAACCAATGAGAAACAAGTCTCTAAAATGCAAATAACCTCTCTGGGGGCACAGGGCGGCTCTGCACGGTGCACTCAGGTTTCCGGGCTCCAAGTGCCCTGCTGCTCTCTGCCTTCTCTACCTGCATCGGTTGAGCGCTGGCTGGGCTGAAGGTGAGCAGGTGACTCGGGGAGGTTGTGTGCCAGGCACAGCCGGGTCTGTGAGCAGCTTCTGGCTATTTCTCCTTCCCCAGCCACCACATAGCCTTTCCTAGGGCTCACACCGTCTTCTCAGTGTATTTCAATCACAACTCACTTGGAATCAGCAATGGAGACAGGACCGTAGCCCTTGAGAGAACATCATGGCATACCTGCCCCTCCGCTGGTTTCTGCAGCCTCTGACCAGTGACCAGCTCGCGCGCGCGCACGCGCGCACTCTCTCTCTCTCTTTTTCTTGCCTCCCGTTTGTTATTTTTTTAGCAAATGTTCTTGCTGCAGCCAAGGGGACTGAAATTAAATTCCAGCACTGCTTGTGGTGACTCTGAAAGGCTGAGGTAATAAAGCAAGGTGTCTGGGGACAGATGTGACTACATCGGTCCAGCTTCGTTCCGTCTCTGTGTCCCGAGGTAACCGGCCAGGGCTGGGAACTTCTTGGGAGATTGGATTTAGTTTTCCTGCTCATCAGGATGATTTCCAGAAAAGTCTGACGGCTGCACTGGAGCCTCGTCCAGTCCATTTAGACCACCGCATTCAATAAGAGGGCAGCAGTCCACAGCCGAGTCTGATGGAGACGTTGCGGTGAAGCTTAGAGAAAGCCCCATGTGTCCCTGCTCCGTTGCCAAGTAGCTAGGGGTCCGTGAGAGCAGAGAGAGTTTAAAAAAGTCACTTCTCTGGGTGGGTGTTTGGTGCAGTGGGTGAGATGCCTCCTGGGATGCCTGCATCCCATATCAGAGTGCCTGGGCTGGAGTCACCCACTCTGCTTTTGATCCAGTTTCCCGCTGTTGTGCACCCTGGCAGGCAGCAGTGGTGGCTCAAGTATTTGGGACCCTGTCACCCATGTGGGAGATCTGGATGGAGTTCTGGGCTCAGCCTGGGCCAGCTCAGGGTGTTGTGGCCATTTAGGGAGTGAACCAGCAGATGGAAGATTCTCCCTCTCCCTCTCCCTCTCCCTCTCCCTCTCCCTCTCCCTCTCCCTCTCCCTCTCCCTCTCCCTCTCCCTCTCCTGGGCCAGCTCAGGCTGTTATGGCCATTTAGGGAGTGAACCAGCAGATGGAAGATTCTCCCTCTCCCTCTCCCTCATCCCTCTCCCTCTCCCTCTCCCTCTCCCTCTCCCTCTCCCTCTCCCTCTCCCTCTCCCTCGTCAAATAAAATAAAATAAAACAAAACCTATCTTTTCTTCTCTCTGGATGACCCTCATTACGGTGAACTGAAGTGATGTGAAGACACCTAGTTGTCAGGTGAAACAGGTCCTTCCCAAGAGTGTATGTTAGGGGCTTGGAAAGTCCCCAAGGTCATCGTGTGACCTTGCTGGCTCCTCTCCAGCGACCTTGATTTCTCTACGGGGGGGGGGGGGGGGAAGCTCATGTCCAGCCAAGCACGAGCGAGCTGGCAAGTTTACCAGAGCAGGCTGCTGGCTGCTGGTTGTCCTGGGAGGGGGAACGAGCTCGCTGTAACAGCCTTATCTCACAGCTCCCCAAGGTCCCGGGCCGTGGGGAACTCTGCGTTTTTCTTTCTGGCTCAGATAACTGATTCTGTCAAGAGCAGACCCTGGACTTGCAAGGAAAAGAGAATGAAATGTTTGGTAGGAATTCAGTCATCGCCTCATCCCCAGTAAGCAAGGAGGGGGAAAAGGTGTTAGTGGCACATAACCAAATATAATAGTCTCAGCCATGCAAAACGCGATCTACGTCTCGGAATTTCTGCAGCTGGGGTTCTCCATGCCAAGATCCACTTGGGCAACACAACCTGAGAAAACAAAGTTTTAAATAAAGCCTCCTGACATCTTTTTCTAATGACACACGCAATTTTGTAATAGACCGAGTTGACGTCTTTCCTTCCAGCCCGGGAGAGTGCTACACCATACATGTCTGGCCCCCAACCAGGAAAAAAGCCGGGCTTCGCCTAACCCCTCGATTCTTCGGTGGCAGCTGATCCAAGAGGCCTGGACACTGAGAAGTCATCAAGCACTCTTCAAGCCAATGGGTCTGGACCCCCTATGCCCATTTCCTGGATTTTAAAAAGTAAGTTTGTACTGGGGACGGCAGTGCTGTGTGAAGTCATTCTTACCCCAGATGAAGGCGGGTAGCAGAAGTCACCAGGGAAACCCAAAGTCATCTTTCTACATAGGCTGTTTGTTCACAGTAAGATCTCCATATTACCTAGCAGGACCAAGCTCCAAGTTAATATGATTTTCCATAGCTTACACATTATAATTAAATACGTGAATTTATTTCTTTGGAAGAAAGCAAGCAGAACATTTCTTTCCATCATAGAAACAACCATATCTTTGGTTTCTATTAAAGACCGCTGGTCTCCCAGGCTCTGTTCAAAATCTACAACAAGGGAATTCGCAGAATTTTCATAAAAGCAATTGAAATTACAGCGTCTTCGTACACTCCCAGGGTGTACTTGTATTAACAAAAGATGTTTTGCTTTACTCGCACCTGCTCAGTTCTCCATGGGGGCTCAAGCCATACACATTCCAATAGAGCAGCGCCAATAACATCAAATAAAAAATGAAGTTCCAGGAGAGAGAATGGAGATATTCAATATGACCACAGAAAGTGCATTTGAGAAGGAGCTGAGCTAGTGGAACTGGCTTTTTGAGCAGAAAATTGTTACAAGAAATAGATTTTTAACCGTGATTCATACACTTTGTGCTGGCTAGATACACAGATCTTCCCTGTGTTTCTGCTGTGTGTGTGTGTGTGTGTGTGTGTGTGTTGGGGGGAGGAGGGGGCAAGGCACAGGGACAGGGCCAATTGAAACAAGGCAGAAGAAAAGGACAAAAGAGACAGAAAAACAGAAATTCTTCTGCTTTGCTTGTGGCTGGGAAGAATTAGGGGACTTGCAGAAAGTCCACCTAAATGAATGTGTTTATGCTTTTCAGATGATTGTCGTAAGAAGAGAACACTCGTGTTTGCTTTACCCTAAGTCCATGAAAGCTCACTTCTTTGTGTCCATGGGGAAACGAGGTAAGAACTTAATCCCCTCTAATTGAGCCAACACGCCTGTGGCCACGCGCCTGAGGTTTCTAAGGTTTGGTGGCTCTTCGTCCAGGCGTCACCGCATCTCCAGAGCCGGCCCCTCTAGGAAGCACATGGCAATGGTAACGCCGCTCGGCTATGCTTTGAGTGTGGTTGGTCACCTTTAGAAAACTCATGTTGAAACGTAGTCCCCTTGGTAAGAGGGTGGGAAGTGGGGCCAGGTGGCTCCTTGAGGCAGGGAATGGGTCAATGGTCGATAGCTCATCTCAAGAATGGCAAGCCAGGTTGGCTAGGGCTCTTACACACTCCCCAGCTCCCACCAGAGATGCCTCCTAGGGACTCTACCAGCGAGAAAAACATCACCAGACACGGCTCACAGCCTTGGCTCAGAACCATCCGCTCAAATAACTCTCTACAACATACCCAGTGTGTGGCATCACTCTAGTAGCAACAGGAAACAGGTAGGACACCCTCCTTCCACCCTCACAAACCCGCACAGATGGCGTTGAGTTACAAGATTACAAGCAAAAGGCAAGGCCCCTTCTCTTAAAGGGACACCGTTATATTGGGGGCAGGTATATGCCAAGTACACGAGGAACATGACAATCCCACTTGCAAGTGGGAGAGGGTCATTGTTCTTTACAATCCCTTGCGGCTTTCAGAGGAAGGGGGATCTAAACGAGGGTCTTTGCAGAGAGAAGCGACCGGCTGGGGAGATGGCAGGTTGGGGAACTGCTGGGTAACGTCAGTAGCTTTGCACAGGAACGGGGGCTGGTGAGAGGACCCCCTGGAATCAGGGAGGGGCTGCATTACTGAAGCCATGGACAGGAAAGGAGAGCGCAGTGAGGCCACCTGTGGCTGGAGAGAGAAGGGAGAACAGAGGTGTGCCACGGGGCCTTGAGTTGATTTCTCATTCATTCATCTTTCCTGAGCACCTGCTGTGTCCAGGCCCTGTGCTAGGTGCTGGAGATAAGGCAGACCCCATGGCCGGCACCGCGGCTCACTAGGCTAATCCTCCGCCTTGCGGTGCCGGCACACCGGGTTCTAGTCCCGGTTGGGCGCCGGATTCTGTCCCGGTTGCCCCTCTTCCAGGCCAGCTCTCTGCTGTGGCCAGGGAGTGCAGTGGAGGATGGCCCAGGTGCTTGGGCCCTGCACCCCATGGGAGACCAGGAAAAGCACCTGGCTCCTGCTATCAGATCAGCGCGGTGCGCCGGCTGCGGCGGCCATTGGAGGGTGAACCAACGGCAAAGGAAGACCTTTCTCTCTGTCTCTCTTTCTCTCACTGTCCACTCTGCCTGTCAAAAAAAAGAAAAAAAGAAAAAAAAAAGGCAGACCCCAGCCCAAAGGCTCTTCCCTGAGCATCCCCCTTCTCATCCATGCCCCGTGGAACAGATTGTTTGCTGAAGGCAGACAAACACTCCAAGACTCGCCAAGGCTGGCAGGGAGTGAGACCCTGGGAGGCGGCCAGTGGGGACGGCCACACCTGTGTTACTCACATTTCGGGAGGGGTGCCTGCAAAGCGAAAACCCAATGCGTTGGCTCCTACCCATCCTCACTGACATCTTGACCAGGAATTGTAAGCACTTGATGCAGGCAGAGCGTGTGCTCCTGCTCGGGAATGCAGAGGAAAACGAATTGTTTGCTTTGGATTCGGCTGGTCCCTTCTTAACGTCTTAAGGTGATGTTTACTTAGCTTGTCCTTTAGCTTAGTCTGGAACACTCTTTGGAGCTGAAGCCCGCAGAGTAGCTGTTCTCAAAGGTGTCCCCCAAAGCTGTTGTGTTGGAATGAGTTATGGGGGATGTGGTCATTCCTTCCTGAGAATAAAGATCCAAAAGTGTGCACATGAATCCGTCACAGTTTTTCAATGCATAGTGTGAAAACATGAATACATAGAAACAGATCTCTCCTCCCAAAATAGTCTTGCTGTTTTTTTTTTTTTCCATTACTGTGACAGGTGTGACAGTTTATGTTCATGGTTACAGACGTGATCCAACGGGCACTGCCCATTTGGTAACCATAAATCCACTCATTTCTGCCCCGTTTAAGAAGGAAATGCAAACGAGTGAGAGAGAGACTCTATCATGGGCGTTACTATTCCTCAAGGCTAACTCTGGGATGGTGGGAAGTGGCCTGTGATTGATTGACAATGTCTGCCAAGGGATATGGAAAAGGGTGTGGCAGTGCATTGCAGGAATTTGTTTCCGAATTGGATCATTTCTGAGTTCTCTGGAATTGTAGCTTTATACTGTAGACAGCCATGCTGTATCTTATGTAGTTTTTAAATTTTATTTCTATTTAATTGAAAAGTGGAGAGAGAAAGAGGGAGAGATCTCCCATTCACTGGTTTAGGTCTCAAATGCCCACAACAGCTGAGCCTTGGCCAAGCCTAAAGCAGGAGCCTGAAATTCAATCTGGGTCTCCCCCATGGGCGGCAAGGACCCAAGTACTTGCGCTGTCATCACCTGCTGCCTCCCAGGGTGCTCATTGGTTGGAAGGTGGGAGTCAAACGGAAACACTCTGATGGGGCACACAGGGGTCCCAAGCAGCATCCTATCTGCTGCACCAAACGCCCGCCCATTACATGGTTGGTTTTGTTTATTAAGATTTATTTTATTTCTTTAAGAGGAAGAGTACACACACACACATACACAGAGACAGAGACAGAGAAATCTTGCACCTGCTGGTTCACTCCCCAGATGGCTACATTTTCCAGGGCTGGGCCAGACCGAAGCCAGGAGCCAAGAGCCAGGAGTCAGGAGCATCTTCTGGGTCTTCCACAAGGGGCTCAAGCATTGGGCCATCTTTCAGTGATCCCCAGGTGCATTAGCAGGGAGCTGGATCAGAAGTGGAGCCGCCAGGACATGAACTGGCACCCCATGGGATGCCAGCGTCACAGGCGGCAGCTTTACCCACTATGCCACAGCCACAACACTGGCCCATCTTCCATAGACTTGGTTCCCTTCTATCACCTTGCCTGGTCAGGATCTGGTCTAGAGGATGCTCTGTAGATAGTAGAATTCAGCGGCCCTTAGACAGCATTCAGCTGGGTACTCCTAATCCATGTGCTCCCTTAGGGATCTACTGACCAGCTCACGAAGGGGACTCGCTGGGCGGCCTGTGTCCACAGAATACTCAATGTAGAGCAGGTATACAAAAGTGTCTCATTAATTGTGTAATGTAATACACATTCCTTTTTTTTTTTTTTTTTTTTTGACAGGCAGAGTGGACAGTGAGAGAGAGAGACAGAGAAAGGTCTTCCTTTGCCGTTGGTTCACCCTCCAATGGCTGCTGCGGCCGGCGCACCGCGCTGATCCGATGGCAGGAGCCAGGAGCCAGGTGCTTCTCCTGGTCTCCCATGGGGTGCAGGGCCCAAGCACTTGGGCCATCCTCCACTGCACTCCCTGGCCACAGCAGAGAGCTGGCCTGGAAGAGGGGCAACCGGGACAGAATCCGGCACCCCGACCGGGACTAGAACCCGGTGTGCCGGCGCCGCTAGGCAGAGGATTAGCCTAGTGAGCTGCGGCGCCGGCTCGTAATACACATTCTTATCAGTAGTGAAACTGTATGTGCCCAGAGCTCTCAGAGACTGCAGAGAGTCCTTGATTTTTTCCAGAGCCAATGCTTCTAGTGGCCCATGAAGCATATGTGCCCACTTTCCTGATTTGGGTAACACCGTCCCAAGGACACCTAATAGTCCCCCCTCCCCTTAAAGGTTATTGGATAAGGATCATTGGGTCAAGAGTGCACTAACTCAAGGCGGCCATTAGAAGTTGCTCTGGGATCGGCACTGTGGCATAGTGGGTAAAGCCACCGCCTGCAGTGCTGGCATCCCATAGGGGCACCAGTTCTAGTCCTGGCTGTTCCACTTTCTATCCAGCTCTCTGCTAGAGCCTGGGAAAGTAGTGGAAGATGGCCCATGTCCTTGGGCCCCTGCACCCATGAGGGAAGACCCAGGGGAAGCTCCTGGCTCCTGGCTTTGGAACAGCCCAGCTCCAGCTGTTGTGGCCATTTTGTGAATGAACTGGCAGATGGAAGACCCCCCCCGCCCCTCTCTCTCTGCCTCTCTATAACTCTTTCAAATAAATAAATAAATCTTTTTTTAAAAAGTTGCTCTACAAAAACCTTAAAAAGGAACTCAGATTTCCAAAGTATTTTGTTGCCAGTGACCTAGTTATGAAAAGTGATCAAAGACAGTAAGATCCAGTGGCTAAGGGTTCTAGCAAGCTGGGGAAAGAATATTCTAGGTTTTTCTATATCACGTTGCCCAAATATAGATAAGGGGTTGGAAGCCTGTAACTGCTGAACACTTGATGGAACCTCAACTCTTTCCTGGTAATCAGGTACCGAGCCTGGGTTAACTGAGTCAAAAAGCTCCCTCCAGTATTCCTGGTTCCTCCACGTTCATTCTTTCAGCATTGAAAGCCATCAGTAATAGCTCCCCTCCCCGGAAACTCATCCTCAGCTCGGAGAACGCTATGGCAAGCAAGTTTGCACTTAAAAAGAACCACAACTACGAGATGCTTGAAGGGACTTCTTCTTTGCCACCAGGCTAGATGACCAGGTGCAGTTTGCAGCAAGTATTTCCTGTCTGCGCTTCATTGTCCTCGTCTGTAAAAGAGGACAGAACCTTGCACGTCCTGGCATGTGAACGGCTGCCTGGGAAGTCATTATCAGGAGGGCTGGACCTCCCTGTCCCTAGATGTGACGTCATTCAAGTCACCCCGTGGTGCCCTTCTCTCATCAACCGATTAGGCAGACTTTGCTTCTGAAGACTGGGGCGGCTCTGGGACGTGCGCAGCTCTGCTGTGTGTTACTGCCTTCCGTGAGAGGCCAGTGGGGTCTCGTTTCTCCATGCACGCTCCCAGAGAAGGTCACGTCTCAAGAACATCTGGGATTCTGAGCCGCAGGACCCCTACGTACGCCCTCATCAGTGACCAGACTCTGAAGTCGGAAGGTCAGCCAGGGTGTCGGAGTGGCTGGCAGCCCCTCGCTTGCAAGGTGAAAGCTGCCGTGGGTTGGAGGTGCCTTCCAAGAGCAGGTGGCCCTGGGGACGAGTGTGGCATCAGAGCTGGTGCCAGAGAGAGGCTGGACCTTGGGTGCAGAGGCTCAAGGAGACAGAGGAGCTAAGGAAGGAAGCCGGGGGTCAGGTCGATGGAATCAGTGGCAGTCGGTCCCCAGGTCAGAGAGGCAGGAAACAGGTCTGGGGCTGTGACCTCCGCTGATCAGCCAGCAAGATGGGCCGAGGCCAATATTTCAGGAAGTCATCTGGGAACGCAGAGAGATGTGGGGACTTTCTCAATAGGAGCCTGTGATGTGGCCTGGGAATAGCTACCCTCTAGATGAAAGGGTTGTACAAATAAGCTTTCTCAAGCTCTTGCAAGGTGCAACATTTATTTCACATCTTTAGGGGAGTTAGCAGGGGGTCCCTGTCCCTTTTAGACACTCAGACAGGCCTGAGCTTTGCCTTTGAACTGAGCAGTCCCACGACACTTGCCCTCCCTCCGTTAGGCCGGCCGTCTGTGCATCTGGCGGAAAGACCTTTCAAAGGAAGTGACGCCCCTAAGTCGATGGCTGGCCGTGGAGAGCATGCGTTAGCGAAATGACGGAAGTTTGCTGCCAATCTCAAGGGTTCAGCTGTGCAAAGCGGAAGTGGCATGGTTGACCTCATACCGAACCGGGGTTTCCATGTCCTCCTTCCTCTGCTTCCCTTCCTGTGGGCAGCCCCGTTCTTCCTCTCAACCCATTCACCTTGTGAAGGCCAAGAGCAACAGCTGTGCCTAGGCTCTGAGCTTTTGTACGCGCTAACTCCTCTGTCTATAGTAGTTGACCTAATCCTCGAGACAATCCCCAGAGTAGGCAGTAGCACCCCATTGTTTGGATGAAGAAACTGAGGCTCACAAAGATTAAGCCCCTTGCACAAGATCCCTTCCCAAGGTCACAGCCAGCAGAACTGGGAGTTAAGTCCAAAGCCCAGGCGAAGATCTTCATCAGAGTGAGTTCCGGCTCCTGATGAGGTCGTTAGACCCCAGTGAGTGTGAGTTGTGGGCAAGATGGCGTCCCCTCTCAGGGGTTCTCGTTGTTAATCATGGAACGAGAGTTCGGGTCTCCAATGGAAGGACAAGAGGCAGCAGGAAGGAGAGGGCTGGGTGCAGCCGTATGTAAGTCAGGTGTGTTGCAGGTGCGTGGGCCACCTGCCAAGGTCAGTAGACTCTGCTCCACCTCCAGCGACATCTGGGAGGAAGATGAGCCCAGGGCTGCCTGGGACCCTTGCTAGACCTAATTTCAGTGTCTGCACGTGTTTGGTCAACTTCCTTATCGACTTAGCCTGTGCCCTGGGACCCTTTGGGACCTAACCCAGCCCTGTGCTTGGAGCTTTTGCCTCCTGCCTCTGCCTTGTCGGGCACATGTGCGGCTACTTATAGTAGCAACATCCGCTCTCCCAGCCAAATTTCTCCAGCGCCACTGCTCTGCCCCCTCAACCTCCAAGCCAGCTTCCCCCTGGCACCCTGCTCCTGAGCTCTGAGTCTTGTCTGTGAACCCACTACTATTTTCTCACACTCCCTTCTCTCCTCCCAGCCACATCTTTGCAGGTTGTGATTGTCCCTCAAAACTGGCTCCAACTGCTTCTCCTTTGCTTCATTTATCTTCTGGGAGTAAAGTCATCAGTCCTTAACCCGAAACTGGCGGCAGACACGCCCCCTCCTCAGCACCGCTGCTGACAAAGTGGTCTATGACCAAAGGATCTCGAAAGGAGGGTAGGCTGCACCTCCCGCCTCATCACTGTCCCCACGCTGCAGAGGGTCTGCGGGCCACGCTCTGTCTTCACTCCCCCACCCCCTCCCACTCTCGTGGAAAGAAAAAGAGAGCATGCAACAGAGGCCCCCAAACATTTCAGGACCAGGGGATCAAGAGAAGATACCTGGACAGCGCATCACAAGCCACCAGGAGCTGCGTGCCCTGGCCTTCGTGGTGGAGACTAGTACAAGGCGTGCTGGAATCGACGCCATGAGTTTGGGAGCCGAGAGGTGACTTGGATTTAATAGAACAAGCTGCTACATGAAATCTGTCTTCTTACAGTTCATTAAAGGAAGTGGAAATAGTCATCTATTAACAGACTCCAGGTCTCGAAGGAATGGTTTGTGACTACAAGTCCGTTTCTGGGTACACACGGATATGTGTGTGCAGATGTCGAATGTGGCTCTCTCTGTAAGTTCATATGTTTTTTTTAATTTTTAAAATATATTTTACTTTTTAATTTTTATTTAAATAAAGAGAACACATTTCATGTATTCATATATACAGTTTTAAGAACTCTTCACTCTACCCTTCCTCCCTCCCTTTGACTCAAATAGTAAGATCCAAAGAGACTTTTTCTCCTGATTTGGGAATTTATTCATTTAAATAACATTATAAGCATGGGATCAAATATTTCATTGTACAGTTAATACATATGAGGAACTTCAAAAAATTCAGAAAAAATGCATATTATGAAAAAAAATTAAGCATGGGTTTCAACATTTTTAGCCCCAAATAAACTTGTCTTTAAATTCCATTTTCCACAGACTTTTTGAAGTACCCTCTTACTATCTGCTGGGAGGAATAAGATCTATAATTTTTTCCTGTGTCAAAACAACTGGTACGTACCAGTGGCTCCACACCCCCATCCCTCATCGTCCCATGGTGTGTATCCCACCCTCTCCCGCTGATAAAGTCCTTGGCACAGGACTTCATTTCAGAGGATCTCTATTCAGAGGCAGATGTTTGGCCCAGCAGTGAAGACACTGGTTGGGTGCTGTGTTCCATATCACGGAACCTGGGTTTGACAGCTGGCTCTGTGGTTCCTGCTAATGCACACCCTGGGAGGCAGTGATAATGGCTCAGGTACTTAAGTTCCCAGCTCCGGGCTTTGTCCCGGCCTACTCCAGCTGTTGAAAGCATTTCGGGAGTGAACCAGTAGTTGGGAGCGTTCTCTGTCTCTTTTTGCCTCTCAAAAAGAAATCCAAAACAATGGTTACCATCCAAAGACGTTCAGGAATCATTTACAGAGTCTGTTCCCAGCATGCTAGTATTTTAAAGAATCAAATATGGCAGTCATATTTTAATATTAAAAATAAAGCAAAAGCATGTGAACTCAAAGGCAATGATGCTGATCCGTTCTGCCCCAAACTGTGTTGGAAAAAGTGGGTCTGCTTCTGAGTGGAGTAGTGGTGTGTTTGTTGAGAACAGAGGTTGCATAAGAAAATGCAGCGTAAAACTGAAGCGATGGGTTGGTTATTAAACTACATACGGTTTGTCGTTTGTCATCTCGGGCCCCACATCGCTCCTGGGGCTGGAGCTGGAAGTTGGCAAATTTCTTTGTCCATTGGCTACCCGTCAGATTCCACCAAGAGGGGGCGCTGGAGGGAGAGCGCAGGCAAGAGTAGGGAGAGGGACTTGCCCCATGCCATCTGCCTTCTGTCTTGTCAGAGTTGCTCCAGGACAACCCTTCACCCTGGCAGGGCAGATGGTTCCAGATCTCCAGCTTGTCAGCCCGTCTGGTCAGCCTCATCCCCTCTCCCCACAGAGGCAGCAGCAGGGCTTGGGGAGGTCCTGTCCCCCGCAGAGACCCCCGTTGGGCAGCACCCTCTCCCCTCCCGGCTGCAAGATGACCCCTACCCCGCTGCTCCCCTGCCCCTGTGCCTGTTTCTTGGCAGGGTCTCCTTTACGTGTGTTCTGTTTTCCAATCCCTGTTTAGCCAATCCTTATACTAAATTCTCTCTGCTAATTAGTGTTGTGTCTAAAACAACAACAAAACGCAGGGACTAAAATTATGCGTGTGCTGAATACAGCCACATGGAGTGGTGTAGACAGATGCGTAGGGAAAGCATTGCCAAGAAATCCCAATAGTGGTTGGGTTGGACACGGCCCCTTCCTCCCTTCTTTCTAGATTTCTTTGGTAATGTGGCTCTATTACTTTCATAGTAAGAATCCAAGTTTCTCTACGAAATCGGTAGAATTTGATCCCAAGTAAAAGGATGCATTGCCTAAAGAGAGTCTGGCCCGTGAAACCAGCTTGGTTACAATCCAGGGATACAAAATGGCCACGAACACAATCCCAATTCCACTGGGGAGCTGCACCAGGAGACTGGAGGGCAGCGAGTGACGTCACAGCTCTCCAAGTGGACAGAATGCTATAGCTCAGAAGTAGCAGGATCAGAAGGCTGATGTGTCTCCCTAGCAAATGCTACAAAAGCCTATCATAGATGACTCGTGGACACTGGGAGAAAGCCTGGGTTCACACAGAACAAATGATGCCAACCTCACTTTCATTTCCTCTTTTGCTGGGCTAGGCCATGAGTTTATCATGCATTCACGTATGTACGGATTCACTCACGCAACAAATGTTTAATACACAGCTACTACGTTCTTGGAACTGTCTTGGCAATGGAGATAGACAATGAGCTTCCAGGAAGAGAGACAGGGACGTGATATTTAGATGCTGCCAGAAAGTGCCCTGAAGAACAGATCATTCTCATTTGAGTGTTTGATTTTGCAAAACAGACACCTGCCCCTCATAGCTCAGCCTCTCATGTCACTGCCCCAAATCCCCGGCTTCCGTGCTCAGTGTTACAGGGTCTGCGGAGGGCTTGGGATAAGGCAGGGGCTGGCATGGGTGGGAGTGAGGGGCGGTTCAGGGCTGCAGGGAGGCGGGGGTAGACACCATCTGGTAGCCAAAGCACATAAGGCAGGCGGCATGTGTTGCCCATCCTTGCCACCTCAGCAGAGCCCATCCATCATTCTCAATAAGACGTCTGCTCATTCTTTGAATCTCGTGTGACTCCCCCCACTCGTCCCCGTATCAGATGCTCTGAATTCTCCCTTCGTGTTCCAGTGGTCAAACGCATTCACTTTCTAGTAACCGACAGATTGATCTGTTTATAAGGGAGCTCACTCTATTTCAGATGGATAGTCTCCTTTTTCGGGAGGGGCACTCCTTCTGAGTTGGTTGTCCTAACTGATTAAATATACATAAAACATATAATGTGTATTATAAATATATATATCTGACATCAGAGAAGGAGAAGATTCTGTCTAGAGGAAATCCACGTCTGTTGTATGCATATAGTTAGGTAACATTCTGAACCTCTATTTAATGATGGTTGGAGATTTAAGACTGAAACCTTCTAGGGATTAACCTGAGAATAGACTTTAATAACTTGTTATCTTTTCTTCCTTTCTATACCCATAAAAATTACAAGCAATTTAGAAAAGACTAAAATGGAAAATAAATGCTTCTCACAGGTTGCAGTAGACGTGAAATAAGGGGGAGGGTCCCAAGCTTGCTACGTGGTCACTAAGGGATATTTCCTTTTCAGCATGGCTCAGCTAGTAGGGCTCTGCTTCTGGGCAGGCCAGTCGCCCGCAAGCAAATCTTGTACTAAAACGTGCTCAGGACTGGGGCAGAGCATCAGGAAGAAAACAGCAGGCAGCAGAGCGGGACTGGAGAGGGAGGTAGGGTGTGAGGCTAAAGCTTGACACTAAATCACAGCTCCCTATCAGGGCACTTCCGTCAGTTCATGGAAAACGGACTTCAAGGTAAATATCTCAATGCAAAAAATTTTGGAAAACTATGCATTTTTTTCATCATATACATTCCCCATGAACTTTTCAGAACCCCTTGTATGAATATATTTTTTTTAAATTTGCACCAAAATAAGCTTATCTTATGTTTCTCTATTTCATGAGCTTTTTGAAGTAGCCTCACTTTGCCATGCTTAAACAACCACCCATTTACTTCTACCCTGCCATATTTCAAAGACTATAAAGGGATGTACTAAAATATGAGAATATGGAATACAAGAAAGGAAGGTAAATATCTGCATTCTTTGGAACTGTGGCAAGAGAGCTAAATCTAGGAAAAAGAAGATGAACTGAGCTGGTACAAAGCGAACACTTGTGGAGATTCCTGTGCGTTTGCTGAGAATGAACAAGTTGGTTCCAAGCTGTCTGGCCCCCAGAAAACCCTGATCAGAAAACCCTGATCAGATTGCCAGTGAAGTAATTAGACAACTAGATCACCCAAGTCATGCACAACCCTTCCAGATGCTGCATCTACAGGGGGCCAGGATGCAGCAGGATCCCCACTGCCCACCCACCCCGGTCTTCGTCCAGAATGGAGTGGAGGGACAAGTGTCTTATTTTTGGAGAAAAGAAGACAGTGGATTTTATTGCTGTTTCTTGTGTCTGTAGTCAAAGACCACAGAAGCCGAAGTCATAAGGCTGTTTAGTAAAAGACACTCTAAAGGAGTAAGAATTGCTGAACACGGAAGCGGTGGCTCCCACCCCACTCCTGCAGGAGGCAAGAATCCTTGAGTAGGTCTCTTTGGCTCAGCCCTGCTCAGGGGCTGCCCAGAACTTCCTGGGAATTTTACTGCCCTGCAAGCTCCTCCCAGCCTGCCCTGCCCTGCCCTGCCCTGCTCCCTGTCCTCTCACCCTTTGTAGGGCTCCAGCCGGCAAGTTCTCCCCACCCCTCCTGCTCCCTCTGCTGCGTTCTTTTGCATCTCAGAACCATGTTGGCGTCTGCTTTTCCAAGGACTCCAGCTGACCTCCACACTCGGAGGGTGTGCATTAGCAGGAAGCTGGAGTCAGGAGCAGGAGCCGGGAATCAAACCCAGCCACTCTCATACAGAAGACGGGATCTTAGCTGCTAAACCAAACCTCTGTCCTCATCTCTCTGCTTTTAAAAAAATAAGTGTAAGGGGAGCAAAAGTTGCGGAACGGTGGGTTAAGCTGCTGCTTGGGCGCCCACATCCCCTACTGGACTGACAGGTCCAGTCCTGCGTCCAGTGCACTTTCCTGTGAATACACACGCTGTGGGGCAGCAGGTGAGGGCTCAAGTACTTGGGTCCCTGCCACTCCTACAAGAGATCCAGATGGAGTTCCTGGCTCCTGGCTTTGGCCTGACCCAGGCTTGGCTGTTGTGGACATTTGATGAGTGAATAAGCGACAGAAGATTTCTCTCTTTGTCAATCTTTCAAAAACACAAATAAACATTTAAAAAATTTTATTACTTTTAAAACATGCTGCATCTTTACTATTTTTTAAAGTGCTAAGTATAAAGAAAAAAATACAAGGAAGAAAGTAGAATCAACCCCAATCTCATTACTTAGAGATGACCATTGAAAATATCAGGGCCGGCGCCGCAGTTCACTAG